AAAAAAAAAAAATACCACTCTAAGAAACCAAAATGACTATTTTGAGAAAATTAATTAGCCTTCCTTTTTAGTCTCAGTTCTACTAGTGACCAGTGAACAAATGATTATTAAACCAATCCTACTGAGACAATTAAGGTAATGATGCAGGTGAAGCATGTGACACGCTTAAACAACAACCACAAATAATACTAACAAAACAGTAACAGTAACTACGGCAGCTAACACGTTCTGAGCACTTACTATAAGCCAGCCACTGTTCTAAGGGCTGTTACACAGATTAAATGATTAACTTCACAACCACCATCTAAAGTCAGGGTGGTATTGCATTAGCACACCACTGTACGGATGAGAATAAGGCACGGGGGGGGGCCACTGAATAATAAATGGAAATGGATAACTTTTTATAGCACTTCTCCCTTAATCGGTGGGTTCACTTCCCACAGTTTCAGCTACCAGTGGTCAACTGCAGTCCAAAAATAGCTTGAGTATAACACAATAAGAAATTTTGAGAGAGAGACCACATTCACATAACTTCTGTTACAGTATACTGTTATAATTGTCCTCTTTTGTTATTATTGTTAATCTCTCACTGTGCCTAATTTATAAATTAAACATTACCATAGGTACCTATCTGTGGGGGAAAAACATGGTACCTGTAGGATTCAGCACCACACACAGTTTTGAATGGGGGTCCTGAAATGTACACCCCAAGGGTAAGGGAGCACAGGTAAATTTCCCTGGATGAAGACTGCAATTAAGAAAAAAGAAAACAAACTTCCTTGCCAAAACATCTTTATGCATGTTCGTGCATGCTAAAACTGCAGGAAAATACACCCAATTATAATATTCATTACATAAAATAATCTGATTAAAAACACTGAATATCCACACTACTTAGCACTTGTTTTCTAGACAGTAAAACAATGTCTTAACATTTCCTGAAAAAAATATAAAACAGTCCATAAGAGAAAATTCCATGACTAACTAAAGCATATATATAATGTCTGCAGTGGAACTAGAGCAGGCGTCCTCAAACTACGGCCTGCAGGCCACATGCAGCCCGCCTAGGACATTTATCCAACCTGCCGGGTGTTTTGGCCGCCACTGCCTGTCCTGCTTGGCAGCCGACTTGTCCCAGGGCCTGCAGTCCGGCCCTCCAATGGTCTGAGGGACAGTAAACTGGCCCCCTGTTTAAAAAGTTTGAGGATCCCTGAACTAGAGAGTTATTTTATAATGAATGGCGTTCTAGTTTTCACTGCGTATCACCTAAGGCTAGATGGTTTCTAGATATGTCAGCTTCCTTCCATTAGATGAGATGCGAGAAAGGGGACTCGTGAAGCTCTTAGATCTACATAGAAGTCAGCAATTTCTCTCTCCCCTCTGGTACCGTGGGTTTCATAAAAACCACACAAGAAGTCACCGCAAGAGTTGGTTTCTGGAAGCATTCAAAGGAAGAGCTATGTGATGAGGATAAGGATAAAAACCAGATTGCTCTTGTCTTTCTTATAATTTAGGCAGAAAAGACCCATTTTGTAAGAATGAATGACTAAGCTCCCCATCTGTACCCACCAAAATCTTAAGAAGCCCAAGTGCACAAATGTCACAGGTTATACAACACAGATATGCCTAAAAAGTTTCCAAAAGACCAGATATTTTCAAAAGTATTTGAATTTCTTGCTATTTGAAAATCATGTGGGTTTTCTTAAAGCAGGACATACTTCTAGATTGCCAACCCTCAGCGTTGTTCTAGGACCTAACATTTAAAGTGCTTAAAACGTTCTGGCATATAGTAAGTGCTCTAGTGTCAGCTATTATGATTACCAATATAGTGCATGTCCATTTTAGAAAAGTTGGAAAATATGAAAAGAATAGACAGAAGCCGAAAAAAGGAATCCCCATCTTACCTCCCTCATTATTTTAATGTGTTTGTATAAATTCATAGGTTTTATGGCTCGATACTGTTTTTGTACAACTTTCACCTGCGTTGTGAACATAATCATCAACTTCTAAAAGAAAGACTGGGTTATAGGGAATAAAAATAGAAATATGAATCGAGAATTAGATATATCCAGATACTGAATGTTGTTCGTAATTTATACATCGTCTGCAAGAGATCTTACTAAACACACACTAAAAACAAAACGGGCACTTTTAGAGAAAACCCAGGAAACATCAGGACTTTAGAGACGTAACTCAAAGGAACAGACCTAAAACTGACTCGTGAAAATAGAGCTAAAGAGAATATGGACTACAGCAGGAATGGTAACAGGGAATGAGCTTTCAGAGAAGGTGACCTCAAGAATAAAAGGCCTCTTCTTCTAATTGACCAGGAGGCCGCTGGCTCTTCTTTTTGTTTTGAGGCGTATTTTTAATAAACCTCAGACCCTTTCGATTCTCATCTGACCAATGAGAACAGTAAGAAATGGAGAAGTATTTATAAACCTGTGTAGGAGAGCTACACGTGCACTCACACTGGCATCTGGGTACAGGCACACAGGAAGAACCCGTCCCTGGCTAGAGGAAGTAACGAAACGCACAGGGCTCCATTGCTGGGTCTGGACAAACCTGCTGGAAAGGCCGAGCCTGGGCTTGCCTGAGAAGCCGCTGCTGCTGCTGCTGCTGCTGCTGCTGCAGAAGCTTCATCTGTATCAGCTGCTGCTGGGATGTGATGGCGTGCAGGGGGGGCGGCTGCATCACGGCGCCTGAGCGGCGCTGCAGCATGTTCGACAGAGCTTGCTTGGTGTTGGTTGGGACAAAGGAGCCGGTAGGGTCCAATCTGGAACCACCTACAAAAGCAACCAGTAGGAAGAACATCCTAAGTACTGGATCGGGTCTGCCTTATTTTATCAAAACCTAGAAATTGTACCTTCTAAGTCTCACTTTGTTAGCAAGATGGAAAATAACGTACTGTCCCATCCACTGTGAATGAAAAAGGTTTGTTAAGACTAGCATAATTTCCAAAAGATGAGGAGGGTGATACAGGAGTGGGTTATAATATTTTAGCATGACTTCATGGCAGTCACACTTCAGTTGATAAACTGAAATGCCCGAAACATGGAGTTTGGGTATAATTTCAGAATTATGTGGGTTTTAACTTATGCAAAGCCCTCAGGAAATTCTTACTTGTCTCCAACACTGCCTTTGTGGTGTATTTTGCCAGATGTCCTAAGCGAGGCATAGAAAACGTTTTGTGATTTTAAACAAATCTGAAGCTCATGTTATTTAAGCTTCTTTACCATGGCAAATGAAAATGCCTAGTTTTGCAGTAAGCATGAAAACACTTTAAACTCTGAACATACTTGGAAACTTCAAATATCATGATTCTAAAGACAAAACATCTTTTTTTGAAGGGTAAAAAAATCAAAGCAAAAGCAACTGTATTGATACGATGGAGGGGAATTCTTAACCTATTTCTATAATTTGTCAGTATGCCTGTAATGAGCTAGGAAAAAAATTTTTCAGCATTTGCTGGCTTAATAGTAAACGCCAGTCCTTCATTCACCAGTCTTTGATGTATTTTAAGGAAAACCTTTATATAAATATGTCACAAAAGCGGTTTTATCTTTTTCTCAAAAGCAAGTTGTATGGTGGAGGCAAACATCCTAAACTTGTTCACTCAAAAGCCCCTCATTCTCTTAAGAACTCAGTCCCTCCATCAGCAATGCGATTTGTGAAGTCATCCAATGGCATGTGAAGAACATTTGGAAAAAAAATAAAAACTCAATCTGAGTAATATGTGAGAGGGTAACTACTACTGAAGCAAGAATTAAAACTACATTAGTACCTAGAAACTAGAATAGACTCATTTATAAAAAAGGAAAATTTTAAAAAATTAAACTATCCTCCACTGTTAACAAAACTTCCTAACTCTTCTTCTATAATCTTGTACCTCTGAGCAACTAAAGAAATAAAAAAAAAATTTCTTGTAGGCTCTAAAAAAAAAAAAAGAAAACTATTATAAATGTATCTGAAGCCCTCTGTATAGTCCTGCTTGATCACTTTCCTCACCTTCTCCTACCAAATGCTATCCTTAATGTGATGTTTAATATTCCCACATATTTCCTTATAATGTTAGCATATCGGTGTGTGTATTTGAGAAAAGGATCAGTACGGTATATATGTGTTTGTGACGGCAGAGATGGCTTGGTGTTTAAACTGTATGCGAGTAGAATCATGCCGGACATATTCTTCTACAACTTTGTAAAATTCACTTTAATGAAAATCTGTTCATTCACTCACATAATTATTTTCTTCAAACATTTTTTCTTGTATGTCATCTAATACCGAACGTCCCTCAACTTATAAATGCCCTTTTATAGTATCCTAAGAGGGAAGGGTATTTTAAAAAGTTGTCAGCCTTTCATTCATCAACAATCTGCGTTTCCATATCTGTGAAGAATCCTCAATATCTATAAAGTTTTAAATGGCTAAAAATTCACAAGAACCTTGCAATCCTAGACAGAAAGTCAAAAAGAGAGAACAACTGTGTTATTTTCCACATCTGTCGGCTGGTCCAGTTGGTTCTTTAGAGTCTACACTCATCCACTCAACCTATCTGTAAGAGCCGGCTCTGCACCAGATGCTGCTGGGAGTGAGTGCTGGGGGTGATGCAGGGAACATAAAAAGTTAGCCTGCACAGAGTTTACATTCCGGGGCAGGAAGACCATAAGGCATAGGACAGTCACGTATATGCCAAGTGCTGACACTCTGGAGAAGCAGAACAAAGGGGACAGAAACAGAGGGTGCGGAGAAGGGGTGTGGCTTATAATTTAAAACAGAGCGATCTGAAATTTCAGGAAGGCTATTAGAAAAATAACCTACCCCCTACTGGTGCAGAAATTTCAGACGTATTCTTACATTCTTCAAAACAAGGAAAAAGATGCTGCTACACCTACTGGCAGGAAATCTTGGCAGTCCAGTGATGTCTTAGCTGAGAATGAAACTTGTTTCCTCTGTAGCATTAGAGATCTGTGTGTGTCTGTCCTAGCATGGGAATCCGTTTGTATATTTGGTTTCTTTCTCTAGTAGCTGCAATCATAACAAGTATAGAAGATGAGCAGCTATCTATAGCTCATACACACAATATCTATCCAATAATGCATTACTTTGCGAAGAAAATAAGGTTTTCGTTCTAAATGTGTCACCCTTGACTTTTGTCACGGAAGATTTTCTCCTGCCTGTACTACAAGTGCTCAGATTGTCTCTTCCATGTAGTTTTACTCAGAAGATAAATGGAACTTTGACAATATATAATTGCCCTCTCTCAAGAATGGTTTAGAGAAACAAAGAATATCCTATAAAAACGAACAAAAAAAAAAAAAATAGAGCTATCAGTGGAGGGCTCCACTGGGAAGGGCAAATCTGACCAAAGCCAAGGGAGGCAGGCAGTGAACCCCCTAGGTGTCTGAAGGAGACCCCTAAAGGCCAAGGGACCAGTGTGTGCAAAGCCCACAGGCAGGAATACGTTAAGATCATTTACTGAACATGCCTGCCATGTTGGGATATCTTCTACGGGCCATACATTTTTTAAAATTTATTTTAACTTTTGTGTGTGTGTATGACTTTACTTCACCCTTTGAAAATTAATAAGCATCTTATCCATTTCGTTCACTGCAATATCCCAGCACCCAAAACAGGGTCCGGTGTAAGTTCAACACATTTTGTTGAATGAATAACTGAATACTCTGCTTTATGAAAGTTAATCTTAGTAGATCCATTTTACAGATGATCAGAATGGGGCACAGGGAAATTAAGACTTGGCAAGAGAGTGGTAGAGCCAGATTTGAAACTAAAATTCTGACTCTCAGATCAGCACTTTTAACCACTCATTTAAAGAAAACATGCATTTTCTCATGCTGTAGTAGGCCAATAATCAAACATTTCCTTTTATACCTGTTTCAAAATATATGAAAAATAGTTATGTTGCAAATAAAATGGGGAATCCTAACACAAGGCAGATGGAGATTTCAAATAATTTAGATATGCTAAAACATGTAACTTTTCATACGGAAAGAAAACTGAATTCATTTCTAGTTAAGAGATGTTTTAATTTAGAACTTCTTCGTTTGAGATGTGCAGTCTACCTGGGCTTGAACCATAGCAATACGAAAATCAGGAATATTTACTGTGGTAGCTTTCCTTTTAATACCTAAATCACCTTGCTGAATCAATTTTCTCAACTGCTTCACAATATAAAAGATTTAAAATTCTCAACATAAAAAGGTAGCAAAAGACACTGTGCAATATCATCTAACATTTTTATATACTAATAAGAATTCTCTCTGATAAAAATATACAAATTTTACAACAAGAAGCCTTTATCAACTTTGTATCGTGGAGCTTAGCTTTTGATCACTACACTGGCTAGTACCCTTCTAACACTGGGTGAAAATTCCAAAGTCAGTATATAGAATTGTAGTTAAACATTATTTTAGAAGAAAAAAAACAAAACAAAAGAAACACTGGAGTGGTGGGAAATACAGAAATGTCAACTGAGTATTCAGTTCTTGAAATGTCTAAGTTTCCGTTCACAAGCGCAGAGAACCTCAAGCTGTTTCTCATCTCAGGGTGACCTAACTGTGCTCTCTTGACACAAACCTGGAGTAAGAGATTGGTTCTGCAGGAAGAAGCCGGGCTGCTGGGGCTGGCCCACGAGGTTGTAGCTCCACAGCGTGGACTGCGGGTGGTGCATCATTTGGGATGAGATGGGTGAGTAGTTAGGAGGCACTCGGTATATGTTGCTCTGTGGATATTCCTGCAACATAAAGTTTTTAAAAAGTTATCTAAGGTCATATACCACACAGTTTGTTAATGTTAATTCTTCCTCTTAAGCTATTTGAGATATTTCCTATCCTAGTTACAAGACTGGGTTTATAAAGGAGAAGGTGGAAAGCAAAAGACTGTCAATATATTCTCCTCTGCAAAACATTCGTTCAAGACAAATTTTTTTCCTTTACTTTAAAAACCACTTGGCTGGTAGGGGACAGATGGAAAAGGAAGTCTTCTGAACACCATCTTTAAAATACTACAGTACTTTCGGAATAGCAATACGTTACAATACCCTCAGCTGAAAGAGCATCGTCTGTTGCCGACTCTCCTGATCATTTCATCTAAGAAGGTCTTCCCCTTACCCAAAGAGTTGCTTCAGAATCATTCCCCGGCCTGGCCTAGGTGACTTCTCATTTGCCATTTTAGGATAGCACTCTAAAGAAGATGACGCCCACCACCCTGTGCATCCTCCTTACAGTAGCTGCAAAGTTCCTAAGGATGATACCTAAAGGCCTCAATGCCCCACCTTCCCTCCTTCTCTAGTCTGGCCCAAGAAGATGAAGGAGAAGTGAAATCTCAGTTTCTTGCAATTTTATCAATGAACGTACGCCACTGAAGAGGGGCCGCCTCAGAGGCAGGACAGGAGGAAGGGACAACCAGACTCATGGGGAATGAGAAAGGTTTCAGGGCTTTCATATGTGAAAAGAATAAAAGCTCGTCCATAAGGATTGACAGGCAAGGACACTGTAGATACAGGAGTGTCAGTCCATATTAAACACCCACTAAAGATAAATACCAGTAGGAAGACTGACGTGGTCATTCCTAGAATAATATTAAGCACAGAGCTATCAGTTAGGAAAAGGTATGTTTTGGTCCCAACACAGATGAGCAATAACAATAATTCCTCATGAACGTCTGAACTGATCTGCGAACATTTCTCCCACTGTGCAGAAGGACCACTCTTGCATTTTAGAGGAAACTGTCTCCAGTTCTCTGAAGTATTTTCCTTGGCGAATTTAGATAGAAAGATACTTTAGGCATCTCCCCTTGAGTTTTATAAAATTATTTTTAAATCACCAGCAAGAAGAGTTCTGTTGTCTTAAAGAAAATAATGTTATAGGCAGGGAACAGGAGTAGGGAAGCAAGAAGAAAAGCTATTCTAAATTAGGTGTGCTTTATCTTTTACAAACTCTGAAAATACAGTGAAGAAGTAGAATGCAGAGTAGGGGCGGACCGAATGGTAACACATTAAATCTAAGGAACATCCTCCCGCATATGTTAGATGTAACTTTTATCAAGAGAAAGAAAGAGCTTTTATGTTGATTTCCTACTGCTATCAGCTGCTCAAAATATAATAAAGAATGTTAACCAGTTTGATGAAAATATTTCAAATTGTATATAGAAACAGCACACTGTACCCCCTGAAAGTATTAATGTACACAGCTATGATTCAATAAAAATATATATAATAAATATTTTGGACATGCTAAAAATGTGAGTTTTTATAGTTTTTAAAAAATTCAGTTTTCAAACCTGAGATAATGATCAAGCACTGAAATATGAACTAAATATTACAACAGAAGCCTAAAATTTAAAAAAGTTATTAAAAAAGAGGAGGGAAAAAAATAAAAGACTCCAGTCCTGTCGTCTGTGAGCAGTCATTGCATAGTATTTGGTTAATGACTGCAGAGACCTGTCGGGATAACTGTTACAACACTCTCGGCATCGCTGCTGGGGATGCCGCGTGGGTGCAGGTAAATCGCAGACTAGATGCTACTGAACCGAGTTCTCTTGGCTTCTCCCACTTACATCAACTCTTGAGCTGGACTTTGTCTTACGCTTCCTTCCCTTTGTTTTCTTCTCTTCATCTGTTGTGGTTTTTCCCTGATCTGACAGCTCAGCTGATTTCCTTTCTGGTTCCTGAGAGACTGGGGATGTGGGCTCTTCCTCTTCCTCCTCGGGAGGCAGGGGCAGCGGCTCGAGGTAGTAGCTGCGGGGCTTGGGCATGGGGTGTGTGTGATACAAAAGGAGGTGATGCTGCTCCTCGTACTTGATCACCTTGCGGTCCACGCGGACAGTCCCGAACCAGGCCCAGGACAGAGGAGCTGGGTTCTTCTGACCCTCGAACAAGTCCCACGGGGACACTTTCTGCTTCGTAGAGACCTGGAGGCCCTGTGGTGAAATGGGTCTCTATGACAACACAGTCAGATCTTACCTGCATTCATAGGACAGGGATTCAGAGAACATTCTGGCAGGCGTGGGTCCTAGAGAACCCCAGCACACTGTAGATGGGGCTACAGAGCCAGCACACTGGAGAGCAGGGGCTAGAATACAGACCTGCAAGCTCCTCTCTCCACGTGTTTTTCCCACAATAATGCTCTGTTCAGGAAACAGAAGGCAGTCCAGTACATCTTACCATAAGTGCATTTTTCATTTAGTTTTAGTCACAACCAACAAATGTAAAGTACACTGCAAAGCTGATCTTACCATATTAAACTACAATCAGTGACAGACCTCTGGAGTCTATTATTGTTAAGATGACAGCATATTTAAAAGTCAAGTTACTCTACTTGGGTAACAAATAGAGTATTAACATTCATCTAAACCTTTATGAACCTGCCTCAATATTGTACCTTTCATGTATTTATTAATAATAGGCCAATCTCTGAATAGACAAATATTATAGGATCAAATTGTAGCAGCAAGTACAAATAAAACCTTTCAACCCAAGCTTCTATTTATTGACTCTAGAAGAAAAACTATTATTCTGTTTCTGCAAGTAAAGGTCTTTTATGTTTAATGTTAATTGGTGGTATCTCCGGGTATTTTTCCCAGATACCAATCTGAAAGTATTTTTCCTCAAAATGGTCCCCCAAATAACTACTCAGAAAGTCCTTCAGATGTGAGCATTCCCATTTTCATCTATACTCACTCTTTCATGAATGGCTTCATCCAAAACCAAAGTCCAATTACCACCTATAAATTGATCATTTCCTAATATTTGTGTTGAGACATGAACTCCTTCCTGGGTGCCAAGACCACATATCCAGGCATCTGACCATGAGGGAGACCACAGACACTATAAACTCAACTGGACCACGAGTCTAGCTTTCTCTCCTTCCTCAGCCACACTGGCGTTAGGTCTTCAGACTACTCTAAATTACCGTAGCATGGAATTTGCCCTTTAAGCCATATCCTTTCATATTTTTATACAAACTCTCCTCTGTACTTGTAACACAACTTTCGCTAGCTCACAACTGCCTCTCAATCCTTCAAAACTACCCACGTGTCCATTTGTCGGAGCACTCCGCTCTACTTTTCCTTGTCTAACTTTGATGGCTTTTCCCCTACTACCCTCTCTGATGTACCATGACACACAAATCCTATCAGGCCGTAAATTTCCACCTACTTCCCCTTGAGGGTAGGAGCTCATTCTTTCATGTCAGTGACCGCAGAATGTCTGTGATTGCTGAATAATCATTGAAAGAGCAAATGATCACTCTTCTTGTATGTTAGGGAACCTTCCTTAATATTGTATACAGGTATGAAACAAGTGTCTATTCAATATTATTTCGTGAGCGTTAAAGTATCATTTAAAATAACTTTTACTAGAAAAGGCTTATTACATGAAGATTTTTATCAATCAAAATTTTCTTATCTAAACATAGTCTGCGTCCAAATATGAGGTAAAATTAGAATAAATCTTTGCTATTATTTTCTATCCTAAGCTTTTAATTAGTTTTCCCTTGGTGAATTTCAGAAATTTACTTAAATTTTGACACTTTAAATAAAGATCTTCATAAATATGGTCTATATATGATAATGTCAATGCCAACTGCACGTAGATGGCAAGAATATGCTTAAAAGGGTCAAGAAACAGCAAAATGGAGATGCTTTACATAGCCTATAGGAAGAAAAGAAAAAGTCTTTGTTTTTCTACAAATAGATAAATTCATATATGAGAAAAAAATTTTTACTCTTGCCTGTTTTTTATCTATAGAATCAAATCCAGCGATTTTGTTTCCCTTTGTGTCGATCAAGGAACCCATCGGTTCACAAGTGATCACATCACACGTCTGTTTCGGCAAAGGTAGCAACTGTCGTACTTTGTCGATGCTTTCGGACCGCTTGTCTCCTAGTTCTTTCTAAAGAAAAAGGGAGAGAAAGTAGGGCAGAAATTACAATAGAGGCAAAAGCTAACAAGAAGGAAGTTCCTCTATGAAACATTTCCTTTTTTTTTTTTTCTAAGCTAGCATGTTCTTTAGCCCTGAACATGGTTTCTGAGGCAACTCCAAATTAAAGTGGTGTTTCATTTCTTCTATTTAAGTAGAAAATAGAAACATACAAAGGCACCCTTGTTACACAACAAACATCATAGTGCTGAAATGACAAAAATCCAGGGTAGCGTTTGCAAGCAGAAGGCAGGAGCCGCGGGACGGAACACTTTCTCCCATCCGGGGTCAGATCACAAGGTGAACATCGGTTATTTGGTTGGTAAGGTCAACAGATTTTATTGATTTACTTTTTCACGTTGTTTACTTACAGTTTGCTTTAAAGATTGTGTCAGCAGTTAGTCCAAAGAGTTATGTGTACAAATATCAATGCAGATGGTTTATTCTTTAACTACATGTACAAGTCCAAGCATAGGTTTATTCTAAACGTAAAGTTAGTATTTTGCTTATGTATTTGGTAATAGATTTCTAAGGTTCCTTAAAATATTGAACATGTTTTATAAATGCAATCTTTTTTAAAAGAAAGAAAAATCATTGAGGCTACATGCATAACTTGTGGTTACATGAAATGCTCTACACAACAAATCCTTAGACACCATGAGCTCATGATACAGGCTGAGCACAAGCTTACTTTCAGTTTCTTTACCAAATTCATGTATGCGCGTTTGTTCTCTTCAGATCCCCCCGGGGACGCGTTTGATAGGTCAGAGGCTAATGTTCCATTGATTAAAACACCCAGCATGTCCAGAACGGTTGTGAATAATTCACTAAGAGGGGAATAAAAGAAGTATTTTCATCTTAAAGTGAAATCAAGATACAGTTGGCTAAATAAGCATTTTTATTCATGGCACAGGATTTTCAGTGGTATTTAAGTAAGTGAGATGTGGCGGGATCCGCCAGCAGTGTATCAGATCTCACCCCAGGCATCGCGCAGCAGAATAGCAGTGACGTGATGGAGACATACTTGTTAGTGTGCATGTCCACGGTTCCGGAAGTGATGATCTGCAGGAGCAGGAGGGCCCAGTCTGTCGTCCACTGGGTGCTCCTCTGCACGGTGTCGAACATGCCTCCTACCTGAGGTAGAAAATGCAACAAAGAGTTTGCATTCTGGGCAGGAGAAAATACCATCTCCAGTCCTCCATGTGGCCAAATTCTGATTAGTTTGAAAAAAAGAGGTGACCTAGTGTATGTACTATCCTTTAGGCTCCCTCTTACTATCACTCTTTTTAGTCCCTGCAGCACAGGTCAGTCACCTACAAATTAAATAAATAAAGAGAAGTGAGTAGCTGAGAGTGGCTTATACTTCTCTTTTGTTCCTAACCTGGAGTGACAGTGTCATGTTGCAACTGTGGCTGAGTGAAACCTGAATAGTGCCTAGGAGGCCACATAACCTGAGTATCTGTAACTATGTGTTTATGTTTAATTACTATTGAATCTATGCCTCTATCATAACAACACATGGAAATACTTCCACAGAAGTAGTGAGGAGCAAAAGGATGGGCCCACTGGCCCACCAGTTCTTACAGGGAATTAGGTTAAAATCAGCTGTCAGAACACGAGCCGTTTATTCTAGGGAGAGCAGCCTTCACTTGGGCTTGCCCCATGGGAAAAGGCATTGAAAGGCATGTACAATGTGTGCGAGAAATTTTAAATTTCTGTAAAAAATTCCTGTGGGGCTTGTCGTTATGATCGATTGGATGCCAAGTTTGACAAAAGTTCAAGTTACAAGTTTCTTTTCTAATGGTTTTTAAATGAGTATAATAGAAGCTAACATCCCAAAATAGTAGTTCTCTCAGACGATTCAAAGGGGTGGAGGGTGGAAAAGGAGAGTCAACGCTTAAAATATCCCCTAGTGTCCAGAAGGCTGAGACAGGAAGGAAGGAAAGCAGCAAGGAGCACAGAAGGCTGGACAGAGGGGGAAGTGGCCACAGCAGGCGCTGCAAGTCCTCACCTTGCACTGCAGACTGCCCACAAAACAAGTGAAAACCTGCAGTTATTGTCACAGACGGGTGTGCTGAATGGAGAGGAAAACGCTAGAAACGTCTCTTACCAAATTGAGGCGGAGCTGCAGGGCTTCGTGCATCATCTGCCGAGCCTTGATGTCATCTTGGTAGCGTTCCTCTCGCCAGTTACTTAAGATCTAAGGCCAGGAAAAAATCAAAACAAAACAAAACAAAACCCCTTTCCCCCTGATAAAACAAGACTTTTTTCTCACAGTTAAAGGGAAATTGAACTCTTTACCGATTACCAAATTAACTTCTGAGCTTTAACAAATGAACGAAGCTCCATCTAATGTTAGCTTCCCTCCCCTTCCTCCATGCAGACAAATCAGGCCATTTCTTTGTTCATTTGCCTTTCTAAATAGAAGAAGAAAATCTTATCTAATTATACGGACATATATCCTGTTACTAGGTCCAGGAAGATGCTTTAAAAGCTGCTAAATTAAGTTTTACTAAATATTTTTAAAAGATGCTTTCCTTGGTCTTATGAAGATAAATACTGAAGAAAGAATTATACAGTTTACATCAGCCCTGCGTTACATTTCTAAGGACATCCATAGAACCCTAGCAAATTTTCTATTTTGAAGTTTTATGAAAGAAGAAATTTGCTATCTTATAGACATGTCTTCCTTGAGAAAGAGAATGGATAGTATTTGGGAAAACACTTCATATTGACCGTTAGACAATGGCATGCCAATTCATAAAGTGAAGTCCTCAGGGACTCAGGCTAATGTTGAGGAAAAAAAAGTTTGCTTAGGAAAGGAAGGCACACAAGTAGGCAATAGTGCAGAATCACAGGACATGAGACAGACAAAAAAGACAAAAACAAAATGGGGGGGGAAAAAACCTATAGTGTCCTGAAATAAGGTAGTTAATACAAATCATCTGAAAAGAGTTGAAATGAATCACATGGAGAAGTGACCCAACCCAACAGTGACCTGTAAATATAGTGCATGATGAGAACAGAGCACTTCCCAAATCTCATCAGAAGATGAGGACCTCTCCCAAGGCTGAATTAAGGGTGCAAGACAGGCAACAAAAACTATAAACTCACGTAATAGTACGGGGGCAAATACAAATTAACTGTGATGAAGCAGGACAAGGGGACAGAGAATGACTGTGGTTCTATGTTAAGAGGGACCTCAAGGCCTTCCTGAATAGAGACTAGAATGAAGTAAGGCTATGCTGGGAGGGGTCCCTCCAGACAGAGGGAAGAGCAGATGCACAAGTGCTGAAACTAACGTGGCCAGTGTTACAGGGGGCAGGGGTGAGGCCGTGACTGACAGAAGACAAGGGAGGTACCAGAGACAGCCAGCACCAAATCATGTCAGGCTTAATGTTTACTCTAGGTATAAGAGCATTTTGGACACCAGAGTAATATGTGACTTATGTTTAAAAAGGAGCACTGTGGCTGCTGTATAGAGAAGTGATTTCTCACACCCAAAAGGCAAGAGATGGGGGGAAGACCAAATAAAATTAAGGGACCTTGTCCATGTCCATCCAGCTGCATTCAAGGGAAGACATGATGGCACAGAAACACAGCACCACAGGGGAGGACAGGGAGGCTCTGCATCTGATAACGCATCTCCCAAGACCTATATGCCTGTATATCCACTTTGCTTCATTCCATGCTCCCCAGTTTCTGATGTGACTACTCAGTTTCCATGCAGTACACAAGGCACATGCCCACAAGCAGTGACGAGGACTGTGGCTGGTGAAAAGGCAATGTCCACATTTTCTGTTAATGAATCAATATGCCTTTCGACTTACTTTTTTGTGCACTTAGTTGGCAACCATGACATCAAGCTCTGAACCTAAGAGCTCAAATAGAGACCATGCCTGAGGCATGGAGTCCCAGCTTGAGAAGCTGGACAGAGTGTCCTGAGTCACTGCCATGCCCATTGCAACACGGACTGCCCCAGGTCCTCTCCCATGGGACAGAGGTAGGAGAGGGGCAGACACTTCAAGGTAATATCCAAGATACAAAATTTTGCTCTTACAGCCTATACACATTGATCATACACACTGATCATACACACTGATCATAGACATATTACGATTATAAAATCACTGATCTTGTGGTGACCAAGTAGGACGATAGGGAATGGATTAGGTTCCCAGCATCTAATCAAAACATGTTGTGCTCTTATTAGTTTAATCTTAGTACTTGGAAGGAAGATGAATGCATGGCATTAGAGAGAGATTTGCCCGGCATAATACTGTACTATGCTTTACCTGGTTAACTTGATTCTGGAGAGATGTCAGGAGGCCCTCCCGTTGTTCATCTTGTCCCTTAAGGCAGGTGAGTACCAGTGAGAGGAAGGGTTGTTGACTCAAAAGAGACATACTACAAAGGAAGTAATAAAGCAGATCTAGTTAGAAAGAATGGATTACTTCCTATTACAACATTTACTGCTTTCCTTTGGGTCATTTGCTCTTATTCATTTTCTTATTAGATAAAAAAGACAGGGGTGGAAAACAGCTGAAGACTACTTGAAAAGTTAAATCGTGCCTGTACTTACGAGATTAAAAGCAATCGTATGCTTCTAAATAACTTAATATGTTCTACTGAGCTAGAGGGCATTCCCAAACAGGCATAAATCCACGCCCTGTGAGAGCAGGTTGGGACAGCGAGGGAAGAAGATCCCAGTTTTACACAAATAAGCAGACTTTAACGCTGTATGCCATGAAGAATATCACATGAAAATGAAAACTTTTAAAAATTCCCCTACAAAA